GTTTGATTAGGTTTGGTCCCAATGCCCGGCGCCGTTGGCAGGGGCTCCAGGAATTTGAACGCTATTTGCCGTACAATACCGTCATATGATTGCTGATTGTCGTGATCGAGCAGCAAATGGTGCCGTAGGTATAGGTCCTCATCGCCGCCCGGCCGGTGAAGTTTGGGAATCAGATGTAACCAGAATGACAACCGATGGCTGTGGTAGTGGTCGCGCACTTTTGGCTTCATACCTAGGTGATTATTTGCAAGTTTACTTATTTATAATCATGGTTAATATACTGTATGTACTGATATGTATAGCAAGAGGTTATTATGGTTTAGTGTTGGTGTAGACATTATTGATGATGATAAGATTATTATTATTTCTAGTGACAAATTATTATGGTAGGGAATATTTAAGGGTATATTTACTAGCAGTGTATAAATTACTGACTAAATTGTAGGCAAAATATTTCATCATTAACTCTAATGCTGAATATTTGTATTAATATTTTGTAATCAACATTCCGTACATTATATGATGATTAATAAAGTTGTTTAATAAATTATTATGGTTATTCTGTTTATTAAATAACAATCCTGATGGGTTACAGTTAAAATTTAATAAGCCAATCACGATTGTCAAAACTTATTATCTAGTATTGTATGATTTAAATCAATATTAAACAAACATGATAAAAGTTTTATATGTCAAAATTCATTGAATTACAGGAATTAATAATTGATTTGTTTTCAAAGTTAATTATAATTGAAGGGTTAAGTGTCTCAAGAGAGAGAGAGAGAGAGAGTACATAAAAGACTTATTGAGTGAAAATATTAACTCAATAAACATACAAAACAAAAAACACCACAAAAAGTAATATTATTTTATATCAATATCTTTGCGAGAAAGAGAGAGAGAGAGAGAGAGAGAGAGCAGGTGGACAGGTGTGCGGGAATGTCATAAATATATAAAATACAATACAATTAAATATTTAGTTTAAAGTCTTATTTATCCTCAAAGAAAACAAAACTCATTGAAAGCAATGGAAATACAAATAAAATTAAAGGTTTTGCTATTTGTTTGTCAACGATATAGAGATTAAATACACTATTCATGAGAATTGTTTTTTCTTTGTTATCCTATTATGTTTTTGTTGTTTTCTCCTACACTATAAGTGCCATTTCGTCCACTATTGGATATACTGTACTGTATTTTATATAGTGTTATATCGGGATAATATTTAACATTATTGCTGTAAATAATGTGATTGTATTGTTATCTCCAACGGGAAGAGTGTAATTAACCCCACATTTATATATCGCATACAAACACCAGAATCTACAGAATATTCTCGAGATTCTAAGTCTCGAGTGATGTATCTATTGATTGATATTAAACGCAAGGAAGTTCTGTATATTGTGTAGAAATATATTTTGTATGTAAGTATAAATATTATCTAAACAAATGTAATGATTATAAAATGAGATGAATGACAAAATAATAATAATTACAAACCGATCATAAGGTATTTCTTCTGTGTAGAGTCGTATTGAGGCCACACAACATTTTCAAACCGACCTTTGGTGCGGTCGCCGTGCGTTTCAAACTCGTGCGGCCATACGTTTGGATCGCTAAAAGTGTCATGATCAAATATTTATAGATTATTATTTATAGATGATATATTAAGTTTTATATAATAGATCAACCAAATATAGTCAAAACTCATATTTATCAGTTTTCAAAATGCATTTTAGTTTTTATATTTTTGTTTTTGATATTGAAATATCTGTTATTTCTATTCAGTTTTAGTGCAGTTTTTATTTTATCGATAGAAAACTGGTATTGAATTTTGTGTTGTTTTTGTGGCAAGAATTTGATGGATGTTTTTGAATGGCATTTATGTTTAAGCGAAGGGATGGATGAATATTATTGTTTTTGTTGTTTTCTGTCGCCGATTCCCACCCCCTTTACTATCATTGCATTTCCTATACATTATATATGGCCTCTCTCTCTCTCTCTCTCTCTCTCTTTCTCGCAAAGATATTGATATAAAATAATATTACTTTTTGTGGTGTTTTTTGTTTTGTATGTTTATTGAGTTAATATTTTCACTCAATAAGTCTTTTATGTGTTATATACAGTATATAGTGTATAGTTTTTTTGTGCACCTCTCTCTCTCTCTCTCTCTCTCTCTCTATCTCTCTCTCTCTCTCTCCAATACAAATGTATTGCTTGTGCTGTTTGTCGCTCTGTATTGAGGGCTTAAATGTTGAGTGAATGGGAATTGATTTTTTTCGTCGACTATTTTTATTTTACTGTTATTTTTACTGTTGAAAGAGATTGGGAGGGAAGGGAGGGAGGGATGGGTAGGCATTGGACTCAGTTATAAAGAAAGGCACTGGAAATAGAGATAGTCTTTTGTTTGCCATGGCTTTAGCTTCAAAGGTAAACATTAAATGAAATTAAGTTTCTTCTCCTTATAT